CAGAACCATGCAGGAGACTCTTACACATTACCAAGTCTTGCTTCCAGGTTGAAATAGAGGTACAGGTCCCCTCTGTGTGCTGACCCCGAGGAAATACCTCCCAGAAGACTCCACCACAGTGATGCTGGTCTCTTGTTACTTACAGCTGATTTTTCAGCCCCAGCTAACCAGCATCACTTGTAAAGCAAAGGTTTTGCTTTAGGTCCTGGTCTCTTCTTAATCACAGCTGATTCTTCAGCCCTAGCCGACCAGAACCCACAGATTCTCAATCCAAAATCTCACACGAACAGCCCTGATAGTCTCTGCTTCCCTTTGAAGCTTTGCAAGCCAGGCCTCCATACGACTCTTTCAGCATAACTGTTCCAAGCTTCACTGCAACAAACTCTGAGCATGCAATGGCTTTTCCAGCCCAAAGTTCCAAACACTACCACAGTCCTCCCCAAAACACCAAGGTCAGGTCTGTCACAGCAATATCCCACTCTCTGGTACCAATTTCTGTCCTTGTTTGTTTCTTCATTGCTGTGACAAAATACTCTGACCAATACCAACTTGGGGAGGAAAGGGTTTATTTAGCTTACATCTCCCAGGTCGCAGTTCATCAGGGAGCTCAAGAGCACAGGCCATGGAGGAACGCTGCTTACTGGCTTGCTCCCCTGGCCCCTGCTCAGCCTGCTTTATTATACAACACAGGCCCACCTGCCCAGGGGCGGCACCACCCACAGTGGGCTGGGCCCTTCCCACATCACTCATCAAGAAGATGCCCCTCAGCCATGGCCACAGGCCAGTCCAATAGAGGCAATTCTCCAATTGAGGCTCCCTCAACCTAGGTGTGTCAAGTTGACACTAAAGCTCTCCAGCACACGCCCCATAGGTTTTCTAAAAACCCCACAGTTTTTTTACAGTGGCAGGCAAAGTGAGGGCTTCAGCAATGTAGGGACAGGGATGGGAGGAATTGTATGTGTGTCTGGATTACCTGGAAGCTGGGTGTTGGGAAGAATGGCTCTCATATATTCTTCTCACCCTTCCTTCTAGGACGTTCTTGCCTTATGGGTCTTTGTTGCATCCATCTCTTTTCCTCATTCCTGTCACTGTTCTCTGTTTCTTTACTTTTGCATATGTGTCTCCTCCTTCCTTCAGGGAGGGAGCCTTCCATCTCAAGTGATACTCGAACAGATTCCTCAACGGACAGCTATCCCTACAAACACTCCCACCATGAGTCTGTGGTCAGTCACTTCTCTTCTGATTCTCAGGGAACAGTCATCTATAATGTGGAGAATGATTCCATGTCTCAGAGCAGTCGGGACACAGGTAGGGACTTAAACAGAAAACCCTGCTTGCCCGATTAAATTTCTACATAAAAAGTCTCTCAAGAAAAAGGAACCAGGACAACTCTTAAATAAGGTAGAAAGCCTTAGTATTTGGGCGTGGTATAATGAAACAAGGTATGAATGAATGAGTGGTGTAAGCCAATGCATACTCCTGTCAACAGCAGCACACAGTAAGACTCTTGTACCGTGATTGTCAATGCAAAGTTTCCAAAGTCTACCTTTGCCTGCTTCCCTTTTGTTTTGGTAGTCTCCCCTTCAACTCTTTGGCCTTGTCTTGTACTAAGTCATGTTTCATGCCAGGTTTTCTTTTGAATACAAGGCTCCAGAAGAAAGTATATTTATGAGTGGAATCTGTCTGCTCGTCCTCCTACTAGGGTTCTGAAGGACAGAGGTGCAGATGAAGAAAAGATGACTTGCTTATTATTGTGCACCCCACTCAGAAGAATTCCTGAATTGTTTGTTAATCTGTGCCTGTGTCAGTAGAAGAAACCATTATATTACAGGACATAGAAGAAAGAATGGAGAATGAATGGAGAATGAGAGGAAAGGTTCATTATGGAAATAGAACAGCTAAGTCCTAGAATAGTGTCTACACTGTTCAGGACTTTGGGGATTAGTGAGAGCATGGCTTCAAATTGATGCTTTATATTTTGCATGGTTTTTTTTTTTTTTTTTTTTTGTCTTTTTGAAGCAGGGTCTCCCTGTAGTCCCAGCAAGTAGAGAGTTTCGGGGCTGGAGAGATGGCTCAGCAGTTAAGAACACTGGCTGTTCTTGCAGAAGACCCGGGTTCGAGCCCCAGCACCCACATGGCAGCTAACAACTGTTCGTAATTCCAGTTCCAGGGGATCCGACAGTCTCTTCTGTCCTCCACAGGCACTGCATGACATGGGTACACATACTTACATGCAGGCAATACATGCATACACATAAAAATAAAAGTAATAAATAAAATATTAAAAAATAAAATAAGCCAGGCATGGTGGCTTATGCCTTTAATCTCAGCACTTGGAAGGCAGAGGCAGGTGGATCTCTGTGAGTTCAAGGCCAGCCTGGTCTACATAGTGAGTTCCAGACCAGCTGGGGCTACAGGGAGACCCTGTCTCAAAAAGACCAAAAAAATTAAATGAATAAAATAAAATAAATAAATAAAATAGAGAGTTTCAAACTTTTGTACATATGCAGGATAGTTTGTATACTGGCCCTCCATGTATTTATCATTTAGTTTCAGTAATTATAAGTCATGGCTAATGTAATTTTACCTACACCTTTACCTACATCCCTCCTCTATTATTTTGAAGTAAATCCAAGATATTATATTACTTTTTCCATAAATATTTTAGTATATATTGCAAAAACATAAATTATTTCTAAATACACTGTTGCTACAGTTAAAAATGAGGGCAGCAGATGGCATTCAATGGAATAGTGTTTCCTTAATATGTGTTTGAGTCACTGCCCCAGACAAAAAGAGAGAAGAAAATAGTATTGCCTTAAAAAAACCACTAAATAATCAGTGAGTATGCCAATATTGTAAATGTCATACATTATCTTAATGGTTTATGTGTTTCACTCAGAATCAAAATGAGATCTGTACATTATGAGGGGTTAGTAAGTCTCTTAGATTCATTTAAAAAATATTATTTTCATGTTCTGTGTATGAGTATATTGCCTGCATGTGTGTAAGTGTGCCTGTGTTATGCAGTACCTGTGGAAGTCAGAAGAGGGTGTTGGATTCCCCTGGAACTGGAGCTACAGGTGGTTGTTAGCCATCATGTGAGTGCTGGGAACCAAACCTAGGTCCTCTGCAAGAGCAGCCAATTCCCTTAACTGCTGAGCCATCTCTCTAGCTCTTCTTAGGTTTTCTTAATTATGTAGTTTTGGCTTCCTCTGACCGTCCCTCCCTCCCTCCCTCTCTCTTTCCCACTCTCCTTTCCTCTCTTCCTCCCTCGTGCAAGGATTACAGGTGTGCAGCAGTACTGAATTTGGCTTTATTTTATTTCTTTATTTCTTTATTTCTTTATTTGTCTTTTTGAGACAGGGTCTCCGTGTAGCCCCAGCTGTCCTGGATTCACCATGGAGACCAGGCTGGCCTGGAACTCACAGAGATCAGCCTCCTTCTGCCTCCCAAGGGCTGGGATTAAAGGTGTGTGCCACCACACCCGGCTGTTTTGGATTTTTTGAGATGGGGTCTTGGTATGTTGGCCAGGCTGTCCAGAAACTCCTGAACTCATATGTTCCCCCTTCCTCAGTTTCTCCGGGGTTGAGACTACAGGTGCATGCTCCTGTACCTAGCTAGGTCACTTGTACTGTGTAGATTTATTTTCTTCCACTTTCCTTTTGTAATTTATTGTTGAAGAACTAGGTATAGACTTTTCAGACTTTGAATTTTGCTGGTATCATCTTTATGGTATACTTTAACATTTCCTTTTGTCCTCTCTTATAAATTAGCAATTGGAGCCAGGTGTGGTAGCGCACGCAGAGGCAGGTAGATCTCTGATAGTTCAAGGCCAGCCTGGTCTACATAGTGAGTTCCAGGACAGCTGGGGCTACAGGGAGACCCTGTCTCAAAAAGACCAAAAAAAAAAGCTGGGCGTGGTGGTGCACGCCTTTAATCCCAGCACTTGGGAGGCAGAGGCAGGTGGATCTTTGTGAGTTCAAGGCCAGCCTGGTCTACATAGTGAGTTCCAGAACAGCTGGAGCTACAGGGAGATCCTGTCTCAAAAAGACAAAAAAAAATTAAGATGGGCTGGTGATGTAGCCCAGTTAGCAGCGTGCCTATCTAGTAATGCACAGGACCCTGGGTTCCAGCCCCAGCATCACCACCAGTTGGACCTAGACGTTTGATCAGTCATACTGGGTTTCTTTTGATTACTGTGTACATGGTGTTAGATGTGATTTTTTTTTTAATTATTTTTTTTTATTAGGGTTTTTGTTTGTTTATGTTGATGGGGTCTCTCTAGCCCCAGCCCACCTGGAATTCACTCACAGAGATCTGCTCGCCTCTGCCTCTTGAGTGCTGGTATTAAAAAGGCCTCACTATGCCTATTTTATTTTATTTTTTAAAAATTTATTATAATTTTATTTTATTATTTGTATGATTGTTAGCTCACATGTCTTACATGTATGTATACCATGTGCCTGCAGAGGCTAGGAGAAGGCATCAGATTCCCTGGAACTAGAGTTACAGATGGTTGTGAGCTGCCAAGTGGATACTGGGAACTGAGCCTGGGTCCTGTGCAAGAGCACCAACTGTTCTTAATTGCCAATCCATCTCTCTAGCCCAAGTTATGATTTTTTTTTTAAAGCTATTTTTCTGGAATTTTGATTTAGAGAGAAGCAACTCCAGTGAAAGAGTCAGGTATGTGCTAAGTGTGGGCTAAGTAGAACTCCTGTTTGCTTAACAATGATATCATTAAAATCTTTCTTCTTGGCCTAGAGATAGCTAACAAATAGATAAAAGCAACAAAAGATTGCATGGGGTATTTGGCTGAGAATAGTATCCATCCCTCTCATTACATTGCTGGTACCAGAATATGTACAAAAATTTTTATATACCAACATATGAAAATTAATTCTGTTAGCTCCCAGTGCATTTGAGAACCTCGGTGGGGGTTTGGGGGTTCTCGATAAGTCTGTCTACAAACTTAATTCACCTTCTGGCTTTCAACTGCTTAGCTGATTATGTCCTTTAGAGTCTGACCTTTCTTTTTAATATAAATCATGCTAGTGCGTTTGCATACTGTGGGCATGAAACAGGGAGAGTTACATTAAATAACCAAGCTCCCCTGGGTTTCCCAGTGATTACTGATGAAGAATTATGAAGTATAATATCTAGGTGAGGTCAGGTTTGATGAAGCATAGGTTTGAGATCAGAATGAGAATTAATCAAAATTGAAATGATGTTTTAAATGATCCACATTTAAAGATGATTTAGGACCAAGTCTTAAAGCATGCATAATAAGAATTATTGCCAAATAAAGAAAAGCAAAACTCTGTCTTCAGAGTGGTGCATGCCTATACTCCCAGCACTCAAGAGGCTGTGGCAAAACCTGGAATAAATAACAAAACGCTGCCTCAGCAAAGTGAAATAAACTAAAATAAAACTCATCCAAGTTGTAAAAAAGAAAAATTCAAGAAAGAACAAAAATATGTAGGTACATAACAGTTTTAGATAAAAAAAAAATGTTTACCTTTCAAAAATTATCATGGGCTAGAGATGAAGCTCAGTGATAGAGTGCCTGTCTAATCTGTGCAAGGGCATGGGTTTGAATCCTCAGTACCAAAAGAGCATACAAAAGTTACCAACCAGTGTATCATGAGTTCTTCTGGGTCACTGGGAAAGATTATGAGTGTGGTTTGAGATTGGTGGTTGTTTAGGACATGTTACAGATATGGAAGGCACCATGAAACTACTTGAATGTCTCTGTATTTATCTACTGAGATTCGCATTCTTTTTTTAAAAATTTTTTTAATTTATATTTTTATTTTATGTGTATGCCTGTATTGCCTGCATGTAGGTAAGTGCACCTGTGTTGTACAATGCCCACGGAGGTCAGAAGAGGCTGTTGGATCCCCTAGTACTGGAGCTACAGACAGATGTTAGCTGCCATGTGGGTGCTGGAATTCGAATCCAGGTCTTCTGCAAGAACAGCCAGTATTCTTAACTCCTGAGCCATCTCTCCAGCCCCCGAGATTCCCATTCTACACTTGATCTTAGCCAAACGGCCGAGAAGCAATGAAATTCCCATTCTTAAATCAGTTATTCCTGGCTCCTACAATTTCTGACTCTTGTATATATGAATTTATGACCCCGCTACAAATGCCAAAGGGAGACTGGGTTCTCAAGAGGGTAGAGGTCAGTTGCAGAAACCAGCTTATGCCCCTTTCCTTCTTCTTTCAGGACACCTGACTGATAGTGAATGTAATCAGAAACACACATCAAAGAAAGGGTCCCTGGTAGAGCGTAAGAGGAGCTCTGGCCGTGTTAGGAGGAAAGGCGATGAGCCCCAGGCCTCAGGGTACCACAGTGAAGGCAAGCCACCTGCATTGCTCTGTTTATTTCCTCCTTTAAACTTTTGTCATTCTCCAAACCATTGGCTTTTCTCTTTTTGCCAAAAGGCTTTTGCTTGCTTTCTGAAATCTGGGATTTAAGTATTTGTGATCACTTTAAACTAACTTCCTTCCTTCCTTCCTTCCTTCCCTCCTTCCTTCCTTCCTTCCTTCCTTCCTTCCTTCCTTCCTTCCTTCCTTCCATCTCCTTTTCCTGTTTTTTAGGAGAAACACTGAAAGAGAAGCAGGCTCCCAGAAATGCCTCCAAATCATCCAGCAGCACCAGCAGGCTAAGGGATTTCAAGGAGACAGTTAGCAATATGATCCATAGCAAGCCCTCCTTGGCTTCACAAACAAATGCAGGATCTCCCTATGTGGGCAGAGCAGGAGACCAGCTGGGCAAAAAACCTTCCAAGAACTTGCCTTTGCACTCTGGGGACTGGGAGATGGAGAGTACCAGCAGTGAGTCGAAATCCAGTTCTTCCAGCAAGTGCCGCCCAACATGGAGACCTAAACGAGAGTCTCTGAATATTGACAGTATTTTTAGTAAAGACAAGAGGAAGCATTGTGGCTACACCCAACTTAGTCCTTTTTCTGAAGATTCAGGTGAGGAGATAATCAGGGAAGAATTGGGCTTTCAAATGCAATTGACTTAGGTGACTGGAAATTGTAGGTTTTCTGGTAGACCTGGCAAAGGAGCATTTTTACTGTAAATGTCAGGTTTTGGAGGCTGTGACTTTAGTGAATAAATGTCTGGAGGGAGGGCTTATTTAGATTTTCATTAGGCAAATCCTAAATCTACCTTCTTTTCCATACTTGTCCTTTGACCGGGATAGCTAAAGAATTTACACCAGAGGAACTAAGCAAGCCACCTGCTTATGATATTAAAGCTGGTGGACCAAGCTTGCAGTATAAGCCCTGGGGCCCAGCCCGGCCTGGCTCTCACCTGTTAGAGCCGCATCCTCGCCTCATCCAGCGAATGGAGTCTGGCTATGAGAGCAGCGAGAGGAACAGCAGCAGCCCTGTCAGCTTGGATGCGCCCCTGCCTGAGAGCGTGAATGTCTGCAGGTATTATTTGTCCTTCCAGTAGAGATACTGTTCTGTGCAGCAATATGAGCTACCTTACTTGGAGCTTTGAACCATGGTTTAGGCTTAGGCAAATGATGAGATGGAATTTATCAGACCGGGTGCTTTACTAACTTCTCTATAGCAGCAGCGCCCTCTGCTGGGAGAAGTGAAGGCACTTGAGAAAACAGTTTTCTATTTTAGCTGTGTATGTTCCTAGTTGTAAAGTAATACTTGTTTAGGCCTCATTAGCAGCACATATACGAAAGCTGGAACAGTACAGAGAATATTAACACGGCCCTTTGAACAAGGGTGATGTGCACCTTGTAAAATTTTTCTCATTTTTTAGATAAGTAGGATAAGTATGTCTAAAGATCTAATGTACAACTTGAAAATAGAGTTTTTTTGGTTGTACTATATGTGAAATTCATATTGAATTGGATTTTAGCTGTGCTTGCCACTAAAACAAAAAACAGAATAACTATGTGAGATCGTGGATATGTTAATTTTTGCTTTACTTCCTTACCGTCTGCATGCCACAATATCATGTTATATACTTTAAATATTCATAGTCTCTTACTTTCTCTTTTTTGTTTTTTATTTTTAGGTAGGATCTCACTATGTAGTCCTTAAAATTTACTATGTAGACTAGGCTGGCCTTGAACTCAAAGAGGTCCACTTGACTCTGCCTCCTGAGTGCTGGGATTGATTCTCTATTTTTTTGAGACAGGTTCTCATAATATAGCCCAGACTGGTCTTCAATTCATTCTTTAGCCCAGACTGGGCTTGAACTTTAGGCAATCCTCCTGCCTCATCTCCCTGAGTGCTGAGATTACAGGTGTGTGCTACCATATATGTCTTAAATATTCACAATCTTACATTTTTATTTTAAAAATTATTTAGGGAGTTGGGCATGCTGGCACACGCCTTAAATACCAGCACTCAGGAGGCTGAGGTGTGTGGGTCTCTGTGAGATCAGGGCCAGCCTGGTCTACGTAATGAGTTCCAGGCCAGCTGGGGCTCCAGGGAGCCCTGTCTCAAAAGACAGCATCAACAACAACTTAAAAAAAAAACAACCAAAAATTATTTAGGGGACTGTTGTGGATGGCTTAACAATTAGTGAATCAAAATGTTATATTCATAAAACCAGAGAAGTCTAATCTGTAACTTATTCTTGCTTTCTGTTTTGGGATAGTTTTGTTCGAGGGGGTCATTGGGGACCCTGTTTTATGAAGCCAGTGATAATCCCATTAGATAATAATGACAGCTGGAGTTATCATATGCTTCCAGAAAGGCTGTTTGTTCTCCATACATTGGTTTTACTGAGTTGCCCATAGAAACAGTTTTCCTAACAATCTAGCTGCTTTGGAAGGAGTGATTATATCTTCTACAAGGGTATGACCATGTCTAATTCTTCCCCACCATTTTTGCCTGCCTTCCGGACCCTGTTCACTTTTATTCATGAGAAGATGCTACAAAAATTTAGTAAGATGGGCTTGGCATGTAGCTCAATGTTTAGAGCACTTGCCCAGCATGGTAAGAATCCCAGCCCTACCCTCCAAAATAAAAGGTCAGTATGAAAGAAGGAAATTAATAATATAGAAATAAGTTTATTAATTATGTAATAGATTTCAAATATTTACTAGATGCCAGATACTATGTTAGATGCACAAGATGTGAAGATGGAGAATGATCTCCATACCTCAACTTTGGCTTTGAGTGAGCAAGTTTATTAAATAAGCAATGGGGAATAATCTACAGAAGCAGCAGACAGGCAGCAAGAGTCATCTAATTGCTGCATTACCACAAACAGCAGAGGCAAGTGCATTAGCCCAACTGAGAGAGCGGGCCAAAGGTAACATCATCAAGTTGAGGGCTTACCGATATCTAGCAGAAATCAGTGAGGGAAGTTGTGATGAGGAAGCCCGATGGAGTTACAGATTGAAAGTCATGGGTGGAGTAGAGTGTCCCTTGGAGGAGGCTTTCAAATAAAAACAAATGACAGCAGATAACATTATCAAATTGGGTGCTTGGAATCATCTAGTAGAAACTGACTGCAGAAGCTGAGGGAGTCAGCTGCAGCTGCAGATTGAGAGTCCTGGGTGGAGAGCCCTCTCCATCTTCTTCATGGATGAGCTTTGGGCTTTCTGTTCAACTGTAGGCATTTTCTTTCTTTCCTTTTTATCTTAATTTTATTTATTTTATATGTATGAGTGTATTGCCTGCATGTATGTGAGTGTACCCTTGTCATGCAATGCCCTTGGAAGTCAGAAGGCATTGGATTCCCTTGGAACTGGAGTTATAGCTGGTTGTTAGCTGCCATGTGAGTGCTAGGAATTGAACCCAGGTCCTTTGCAAGAGCAGCCAGTGCTCTTAACCACTGAGCCATCCCTCTGGTCCCCATAGGCCTTTTTCTATTATGGAATAACCAGTAGTAACATTGGAAACAGTTTACCTTGTAGCTGTTCTCAAGTACATTGTGTTAGAGGACAACTTGTCAGAGTACATTTTTTTCCTTCCACTATGTGGGTTCCTGGGATTTAATGCAGGCCACCAGGCTGGGTGGTAAGCATTGTTTTTTACCCATTGAGCCATCTTGCCAGCCCAGTGACACAGTGTGTATATATATATATAT